CAAGAACTTAAGCCGGCTCTTAATGTAAACGTCAGCAGTGAGAAGCTGATACTTTATTAATTAGCTTAGGCTTTTATTGTTTTACTGTTAAGAAACAGATGTTTCTTAATCTCGTTTCCAGACCCCTTATTTACATTTTATATATAGTTTTCAAACATTGTAACGGTCTTTATTCCACTTTTGAAAATGTATGTTGCGTAGCATACGAAACGTCAAGTTATTAAAATGCGTAAGTTTAATATGTTTATCACCGCTATTTGTGTTTTATTCCATTGGATTGTGTTTCGGCTACCGAGCCCAATCGAACACGATCTAATGGATTTATTTCGGTTCAGTTCGATTGGTTCGGAAATCAAACACTCACACAAAATGTGGTGCTCGATTTGGTTCGATTGCCGAACTCAATCGAACTCAATCGTGTCGATTGAGTTCGATTTCCGAACGTTCGATTGACAATGCCGGGCATAAGAAATTTATAACAGACTCATTCTATTTAGAAGAACGTTTCATAATTTGTTTATTAAGCTTATGTAAAATAATATATAGATTTAGGCCAGCCTAAATGCGTAGCTCCTGGGCCGGGTGTTCAGAGCCAAATTAAGCTAACCCAGGGAAAGGTAGAATTTTGATTTGAGTTTTGTAACTTTGCGTTGAGGTTTTCTGTATATTGTTTGGCCTTCTGTTTTGAGTTTTAATAATCGCTATATACACAAAACAAAGCAGCAAAAAACATTTGTATAGAAGAAAAAGTTATAATTCGGTTAACTTTTAATACTGGGTTAGCGTTAACCGGCTTCCGAACAATCCTGCCCTGTTTTCAACAAGTTAACCTGAGATAAGCCCGCGATCCAATCGAAAACCAGCACTTGGTCAGCGATCAACTTAAAAAAAAANCCAGGAAAAGGTAGAATTTTGATTTGAGTTTTGTAACTTTGCGTTGAGGTTTTCTGTATATTGTTTGGCCTTCTGTTTTGAGTTTTAATAATCGCTATATCCTGCACTATATATACAAAGCAAAGCAGCAACAAAACATTTGTATAGAAGAAAAAGTTATAATTCGGGTAACTTTTAATCCTGGGTTAGCCTTAACCGGCTTCCGAACAATCCTGCCCTGTTTTCAACAAGGTTTCGATGAGCTGTAAACTTGAGCCCGCGATATGGTCACGTGATACTGGTCAGCGGATACCTTGTTTTGACAGGTGTCAATTGATCGTAACTTGGATGTCCAATATCAAAGAAATACACGGTAAACCAAGGCTGCATATCTCTGTCAACCTATTATTTGGGGTATGGCCGCCATGTTGCGCGACTCCGTCGTCGTCGTCGCCGTTGCCGTCGCCGTCATACGTACGCGCCCACGAGCAATACCACTAGCCATGATAACCAAGAGAAAATTTCTGAGCCTCCTAACGGAAGTCGAACCTGAGACCTCGCAGAAACCGGCTCTGGACTATGGGAAACTCGCGGTGCAAGGACCTGCAAGGACGCAAGCTAGATTCTTTTATTGTGTGACACATGGCTTGCTCTAAGTTATGCTTGGCTCAGTAATGTAAAAGTGACCAAAGTAATTGCGCCCACTTCTTCAATTCTTTCACTTTCAGCGAAATCGCTATTCCATCATTATTTGATCTACAGATTGGAAAACTTAGCTTTTTGCTGACTCACTGAAAGAACACCCATGCATACAGTGTAATTTAACTTGTCACGAAACCCGTAGTGTGCATTTCGCGCTTATTTTAGTATTTTAGTCATTTTTCTGCTACTAAGGCTAAATACCAGGTGCATTCGGTTTCCTTTGAACTTCATTTGCGTCTTTTTCTGTAGCTTAATAAAGCCAGCCATGCAGGGGCAAATTAAAGGCTAACCTGAACATCATTCACCTACCAAGCTTTAACAACACGTCTCGTCAGCTTCACAGCAGATTAATAATGTTTCTACTATACAAACATTTTTATACACACAGGCAACCAATGGTATTAAACAAGGAACTTTTTGTAGCTATTTATAAACAAGGAAAAAATGAAGTTACTCTAATTAGGCTTATTAACTCCAGAATGTTTTTGATTTGTTTTGAGAATCGGTGAGGGAATAAGCAAAATAAAAGGAAAACCTCTCAGGTCAGCTTTGGCTGACTAATAATTGCTATCAGACTCAGCCTGTCTGTTCAACCTCTGAAAAGACACAACGGCAATGGAAAATATGTCCGTCTCACTAGTTTACTTCGTTATTAATGATGCTCCACACGCTCTGCGAGAGTTAAATATCATTAGCGTCGTGTTTACATGCTCCACGGCTTAATGACGTACGTATTGAACGCTACGCGTGACCTTAGTTATGTAACTTGTGAAGACACACATTCCTCTATCACTTGGTGTAGTTTGCTCAAATACGCTGAATCTGAAGTACAGGTAGCTACTGAAGAAAATTGTTCTCATTTTGCTGTTTTCAATATCGATCGGTAATTAGCCCAATGCAGTATACAAAACGCGGCTAACTCAAGTCGGTGGTCGCAGCGGGTCAATTATTCATGAATTATTGCATGCTATGTGTTTTGTAACACACCAAAAACCAAATATATCTATAGATTTTAAAAACGCGGAAAATGTTTTCCTCATTGCATTTAAAAGAAGTTTAAATCTGCATGCGAGCAAAGTGGCTCACCAGGCCGACGCTTATCTCCGGGTTTCTGTAGCATGAAGCGACTAGGAGTATTTCTAATCCCCCCTGGGATGCTAATCCATCTCAGGGTTACCCCCCAGCAATAAATTCGCCGGTACTCATTTATCCACCTGGGTGGAGGGAGGCACTGTGAGAGTAGATTGTCTTGCCCAAGAACACAAAACGATGTACCCAGCCAGGGCTCGAACCCGTACCGCTCGATCCGGAGTCGAGTGTACTAACCATGAGGTCACCGGGCTTCCACTTCATTGCATTTAACATGAGCATTTTCATTTTTTAAATTCACGATCTGTAACTCTATTATGATAAAGAAATAGGTTGTATTGACGTAAGAGCTTTGCAAAGCTCGAGATAAAAAAGGAAAAGTATTAGGTTTGCTATTAAACAATCAGGATATCACTGCGTCGAGTTCTTCTTAATTATGCAACGTAACTTTATTTTAATCTGGGTAGCCTTTTTCCACTTTGCCGGTAGGCTACAGTCAGCTCTCGCCTTGCAGACACCCCGCTATTACGGACACCCGCGCGCTACGTCCACGGCCAAAACTACAAAGAAGTGAATGGAAACAACGTCCGCTATTACGGATTCCCATGGTGTATGGTACGTGAGTGCATGGTGTATGGTACGTGAGTAATGTAAAGTAACGTATCGTAAGTAGGTAATATAATGCATTGTAAGTGATCACGAAACTCGCAATAAATCACGCCTGATATTTCTCAAAAGGAGTTTAATTTATTTTTAGCAAAAAAAAAAAAAAAAAAGTTACTAACCACCTGCTTTTAGCATTCATGAAGTGTTCCCTCTTACCAGTATGAAAAAGACTAAGGAAACCTGTTTAATACCGATCGATTAAACTAATCTAACCTATAATGACGAAGTACTTACATGTCACATTACTTTTGAACCAATCTTAACCTTCTATCGTTGTCAGGTCATTTTAAATGTTGGGCGCCTTGTGCACCACATGGCGCGAAGAGGCCTAAGTAATTAAGTATATATGTATGTTTGGTCAAGCAACGGTGTCCAGTTCTAGCTATGAATTATTTGCTAATGTTGAAAAACAATGGATCAATGTAATAAAATTCTCGCGAAAAAAAAGACTGCGAGCTGTTTATTGACCTCATCAAAATTGAAACATCTAAGGCTGCGGGGGCGGAACCTCCTCGACGTAAATCCGGGACACTGAATTCCATCCTGTGTAGGCGTCAACGCTGCCGTAGCCATGACAGTTACCGACCCAGAATCCCACGCGTACTGTACCTTTGCTAACTGTTTCGCACACTCCTTCAATCTGGCGGACGCGGTGCAGATCTTGAACTGGCGATTTACCAGTATTCATATAGACAACACCGTCAATGGCCTCGGGCGCATCACATTCTGCACCATTAAAGGTAAAGTACCAACGTTTGCAGCAGGTGTCGCAGTTGTAGATGCGAAGCGCGCCATTCCAGAACACGCGCAATCCAGTATTATCGGAACTTTTTTCGAAAAGACATTCCTACAAGAATTTAATGTAAAAAGAAAGATGAGAAAGGAAACCCCTTCCAAAATCTTTAACGTTTTAACTGCCTGTATCCCTTTCCTTAGGATTTAACTTTCCTTAGTTTTAAGCTTCAACTTGAGCTTACAAGTTTGAAATTAAATTTTAGACTATACGACGCAGCTGTTGGGATCTTCTCCGGCCAAACAGCTTAAGTGAATACCAAGATACGTTTCTCCCAAACTGCCAAGCTGAATTTTGCTACAGGCTGAGCTGACAGATCATTTACAGGTTTGTAACGTTCATTCAACTAGGTCCTTGTTTTAAATAACGAGACCTAAAGAATTTTTATAGTTCATGACGAAGACTCACGACGGTATTTCGTTTGGAGGTAGGACGATGGAGCCCTTCACCTGACGAATTTCCTCTGCGAGATTCCCAAATATTTCTGCGCATTTGAGCTTGTCAACAGTGCTGTATTCTAATTAGTCAGTTTAATTGAATCAGTAATAACTTAACCTTGATTAACCCATTGTCCTTTTCGTCATTCAAATTTTTAAACACGCACTGTTTCCAGCTACCTCCCAGGGGCCCTGAGTGACCCTTGGGGCCTGCGGGGCCGGGATCCCCTTGACTTCCTGAATCGCCTTTGTCTCCTTTTGGACCAACTGGGCCCGCGGGGCCATCGTTCCCTTGGGGACCCGCCATACCGGCTGGACCCGCGGGACCAGGAATTCCAGGGATACCTGGAATTCCTGGCGCAGAGCCACCTCCACACGACGATTTTCCTGATGAACACTAGAATGAATAAAGGAAAAATCAGATTCAGAGATGTCCTAAGGGACTGTGCAGTAATTATCAGAAGGTAGGGCTTTAAAACCAGAGGAGGGGCACTCCATGAAATTATACCCTAAGGGAGGGGGGTTAAATGTCAATTTCTCTTGGAAAAGCAGGGGAGCGGTATCTTTTTTTCTTCTGGGTAATTGATATCTTATGAGAAAATTTCAACTCGCCAATTGTATGTTCACTGAACCTTAGTATAGCTAAGCCATATTGGTATGTCACGTTGGTACACCATTATGGTGGAAGAACAAAACCGAGTTTGCTGCCAATGACAGGGGTTTTCATTGTGGAATTCTTTAGTTATCATTCATCAGTTTTAACTACTCCCTGAGAAGTATATCTAAAACTGCGTGAAAGTGCAAACGTATAAGTATATCAGTTCGTTTCTGTAACATGTCAGATCAAGTTGAATAGTAGATTATCTAACCTTCAAAACACGTTCAGTACTTCACTCAGTATCGCTGAAACCAACTGAAATCTTACCAGTAATTTGGGAAACTGATGTCGAGAATATGCTAACAGCACAGCCTCGCATTTTGGAGTATCATCAAGTTTAATAAAGAATTTCCATGGCGTCACGTGCATAAAAACAATAACATTTAACCGATCTTTTGCTCGATCAGGTCATTTTTTTCATATTTCTAATGATCTCTGGAGTAATCGAAATCATCTTCGTATACTACTGGACACTGCATGGTGGTTATACATTTGCACTCTCATTTATGCACAGGCTGGGTGCCTACCTGTTTTGAGCTGCCTCCATTATCGTAGTGGTAAGCAGCATGGGAGAGACAGGGCAACAGAAGAACTGCCACTAGGGCGACGTGAACTGTTAGCATCATATTCAATCTAATGGGATATCAAAAAGATCGTGATTTATATAGTCGCGGTTTTCATATTCGCATTATTTTGCTTATTGGCTTTGTATTACTACATTCACGCTTATTGATTGGCTTAAATAACTCGCACCACTTTCTCATCGCATGTTAGGTTTAAAGGTACGGTTTTAGAACATTTCTGTACGTCTTTAATTTATGAGCGTTGTTAAAGTTTTCGTGCGTTAGGAATTACGGGTAAATAATCTACCAGTCGCAATTTTTTTTCCTACAAGGTTTCTTCATTGTTAATAGGTACAGACGTGATGCTTTGCACGTTTTCAAAATCCCCTGTGGGAAAAAATGAAAGATGCATGGCGACTGGAACATTTACTCATAATTCTTAGCGCACGGAAACCTTAACAACGCTTATAAAGACGTATAGAAGAGTTCTAAGGCTTCAAACCTAGCATACACAATGTGGTAAGTAGGGGGACAGATATTGCAAAAACGTGGCTTTCAATTCCTCGCGTGCCTGATGGGTTCTGTTAGGTTCACAAGGTATCATCATCATCGCAAGCTAATGAATTACAATGAGGTTACAAGAGAAAAAGAGATAATCGAAACTTTGAGTCGCCAACAAAATACTAAACTATCAAAACCTAGCTGCAAATTAGTCTTCGTTGTCGTCTCTTCATTAAGTGGCCTACATCAGCATATAAAATAAACGGTATATGCTCCTATATACCTATTGATATGGTTGCTTGTTTGTAAACAAAACAGGTTAATGAAAAAGTCTTACAAAGCGGAAAATTTTTAGGGGGGCAATATTCATTTATTTATTCATAATGTTTTAGGTAGATTCCTTCACGATCTTGTAAAACATATTGAAACTGAAAGTCGTTATTTTAACTATGAAACAAAATTTAAAGAAATGAATTGCTTCTGTCAAAAAGCCATTTTGTAAAGAGCTCATAGTTATAACTTTCTGGGTTGAGGAGATCAAAGCGTGAAACGTGAAAATACCGTGGTAGATTAAGGTGTTGTTTAAATCGCGGGCAATATCTTGTCTTAGTAATTGACGAAACAACGACTAGCTCAAACAACGTCAACACCATTTTGTCGTCAACAAAATACGACTGTTTTTTCTTTTTACTTTTAACTAGCTGTACTGAGCCTCTTTTCGACTAATTCGTTTTTGGTAAGACTGCTTCGGTCTGCTGTCAGAAGGAGATATAATAAAAGAACACATGCACAGCAGTCATATACATATTGGCAAGTTGGTTGGACTTTACGCCAAGATGAAGGGACCAGCGTAAAGTTTCAGTTGTGCCTAGAATTTGCGATGCTTGGCTGGGGTTTCACTTAAGGTTACAGCATACCTTCAGATCGGAAATTTTCTTCAAATTTGGATTTTTGGTTCAAAGTAATGGTCGAAGATCAATCTCTAATTTCTGAAAACAAAATTGAAAAAAACGTAATATTGGTGGAGAAATGGAGGTTTTACGTTATGGCCGGAAGTAAAAGTTCCCTCTTGATTGACCGCCCTATAACGTGTATGCAATCAACCGAGACTACTTTCGCGGGAATATTACCGATATGGATACCACGAATTGGCTGGCTACTCAGTTAATCAGCATTGTTAATCCAAGCATTTTTCGTATTAGATGTAATTCTGTTAAGTTATGAGTAAACATGGACCACGGAAAACTCCGTTTACCAGTTCGAAAAAGCGCACAATGAATGAAAATACATCAATGAGTGAAGAAGCGAAAGTTGGCCTCGCGGATGAAGCTACGGACGTATCAAGCGGGCAAAAGGATCGAGTCAAGAGAAGAGAAAGGTTGTGTAAAATTTGGGAACTCGACAGCGATAACAGCGATGTTTACAGTGACTCTTTTGTTGAGTTCGATACCGATGAATCGTCCAACTCATTGAGATCCATTGGAATATTATCCATGCACATTTGCTCTGCCGCGCTTTCTTTTGTTTGTTCTCGTCGCCCAGCTACTCTAGAGTTCGTATCCTTTTTCGTCTTCCCCATTTTGCCAAACCAGCTTCAAGAAAAACCCAGCCGCAGAAAAATTATCTCTCCGCCTTAAGCACATTGCGAAACGCAAGGTTTTTTTGGAGATTCACGCTTAAATTTCACCGCGAGTTAATGGTAGTAAATTTTCCAAGCGCTGATTGGCTCAGTGACCTGAGAACCCAGTTGAAGGCGTTTGTGGACGGAGTTTGTTTGCGAAGCAAGATATTTTTCTTAGCGCTGTTTTCTCGAATAAATTTTTTCGATTGAAGCAGACACTTTAAAGAGTTACAACTCAAAGGGAATTTGTTTGTCTGCCCTCAAATTTGGACAGTAGCTGGATTAACATATAAAAAACAAAAACTTGTCTGCGAATTGTTTATTTCGAAATATTTTTTCTCCGAGAACGATTTTTGTACGATCACTTCACCTTTTTTAAATCCTATTTCGAAAATGTTCTGTAACTTTTTACTGTAATTGAATAAGGAAAAACGCAGACACGCTTTTTTTTAGCGCTTTTTGTCCTGAAACCGAGGAAAAACAAAATTCGCTTTGACTTGTAGCTTCCAAAAGGTGATAAGGACGCTTGCATTTAGTGGCCGTGAAAAAATCGGCAATTTATTTTATTTCAAAATTTTTGGTATGGCTTGATAGCCAGCTCTATAAGCTTTGATATAGGGGTTTAGGTATCTACAGCTTAAACCGGACGCGCTACATCGCTTGGACGTGAGGCACCCCTGAAGGTATACGGTAACCTTAAGACGGAATCCGATAGGAAATCGAGCAATTTCAGTTTTGAGTGTACAAATATCTTGTACCAGAATGATGTTAAGTATATCAAAACCCTTTTTGCATTTTCTAAAAGCTAGCTACAGATATAAACAATTGCCTGAAATAACATCAAAAATAATTTCGTTGAATTTACTAGGAAGCCGGAACTCGAGAAAATAAATTCCAAAGTTCAGAGAAATTGTGCAAACACGGGTAAAATTTCATCATAAGTTTCATTTCACCAATACTTTTTTAGTGTTTTATATAAGCTTCAAAATTTGTTTTCGACATTTGGTGCTGTTAGAATTGATTTTTTTGGAGAACATATTCGGTAAAACAGTCGCACAGAAGTTTGCAATATGATGTAAATAATCTTGGTGCAAAGTTTTTGTCCACTTGTTACGTCTGGTGGATTACTTCTTAATTTTCATCCTTTGAACTTCAAAACGAAGTGACAGCAATTAGTAACTCCTAAATATATAAAAAATTGAAATTTGGTTTGTTTGTGCGTTACAAAGTAATTTTTGATTGAATAGGACAGCCAATATATTTTTGCGACGAGTGTAGGTTTTGTCTTCGTTGTTTATTTTGTTCATTGTTAGGTCAACATTTGGTAGACCCATTTGGTATGTATTGAAAGCAAAATGGAGCTCAGTCCTAATCGCGTCCAGTTCTCCACTGAGTTTGTCTCACCGTTGGCCAACTCACACTGACTTAATCTACAGATTAGAAATTTAGCCGAGTTTTTGCTGACTCAGATAGAACACTCATGCATAATCTTCACTTGTCGTTGAAATCGTAGTGAGTACTTCGAGCATATCATGTTTTAGTAAATATTATATGCATTCGCTTACTTTTCATCTTAATGTGCCTACTTAAATATTAAAAAGGCCCTGCGTGCGTGTGCAAAATGATACTAACTTACCAAGCTCAGTTGAACAACAGGTCTCGTCAGTTTTGCAGCAGAACATATTAAACAAACGTTTTTATACACACAGGCAGCCAATGGTATTAAACAAGGAACTTTTTTTGGCTAATGAACAAAGAAAAAGTTATTCTGATTGCGCTAATTAATACCATAGCAAGAGAGCGTGCACGCATTGAGTTAACTTTAAGTACTTTTTTAAATGCCGCTGATTGAACACGACCCGCTATGCCTTTAAGTCGACAAACAATTAGCGATTAACGTAAGAGATCGACACGGAGAGTAAGGCTGCTTCCTCTGACTATTTGTTACTCTCAGACCGGTCCCAGGCTGTTTGGTACAGTACCTGGGAATACGTCCTTCGATTCTCACTACTCTCTATTTCTTTCAGTGATGTTCCGCACGCTCAGCGAGATTTTAACTTTATTAGCGACTTGTGTGCACGCTCCACGGGTTTAATGACGTACGTATTGAACGCTAGCTACTGACGCCTGACCTTAGTTATGTAACTCATGTAGTCACACGTCGTGCTCAAATAATTTGAGGAGCCAGCTACGAAAAAAATTAACTTTGTTTTCCTCAGTTTGCAATATTGAAAGGCAATGAACCCAATGTAGCATGCAGATTGCTCCTGACTCATGTCAGCCAAGACATATGGCACGCTGTGTGCACTGTAAATACCTGGATACACACCGACCCCTAATTACTTTAAAAAAGGCGGAAAATATTTTGCTAATTGCAATTAACGTAATCATTTTTTTGTTCAAATTTACGACCTGTTACTCTGTTTTGGTAAAACAATAAGTTTAAAACTTAAGAGGTTTGCATAGGCGAGATGAAAATGAAACTGTGCTGGCGATCAAATATTCTTAGGCTGTTCGATTGAACGTTTGTCAGTCTCCGCCGAAGGGAGGAGAGGAGATCGTTATAAGATATTTCATGTACCGTCATTATGCGTAATGGAGCTTAGAAATACACGTGCTATAGTTATGCAACGTTACCTCAACTTCGAAACCATTCAACTGAAAATTTACATAACACGCATGGCTAACCTACACGTATTTGCCCTGTGATTAAGCAATTTTTTTTTTCTCAGTTCTTTTTATGAGTATGTAAGAGCTATAGATACTCATAAACAAGAGATGGCTCCGAAATCGCCATTTTCACGGCTACGTTAGCGAGCTAAGAAGGTCATTATATAAATAATTTTATTATATGGCTTTTTGTTGTAGCCGATATAACGCACGCTATGATTGGCTAATTGTAGAGCATTGTTCTCCCATGATGCCCACGATTACCGGCTTGCAAAACAAAGCAAAAAGCCATAAAATAAACAACCCATTAACCTCGAACGCTCGCTTTTAACGCGAAAATGTCAGACCTTGACACTCTCGACATTGCCGTATTGACCTCGCTATTGCTCAGTCAATATGGCAAGGTTAATAAATATTTAATTAGTTCAGAGGGCCAATAAGAAAATCAACCAATCAGATTGCTCCACTGTCGGTCTAATATTCTTCTAAGTATTGGACCGAGCACAGTCCCGAATGATTCTCCGCACGATCACTCTTAAGCTTGGATAATTTTTGGTTATTTTATGGCTCACGTCTCAGAACGAACTTGCTTTAAACATAAAAGACTCATTTCCTTTTTCTTCCAACTCTCTTTCTCTTATGGTTTGTTGAACATCATGCGTTAGTATACGCCCAGTCCGCTCCCAATCAGAATCGCGCGTTTTTTTCCAGTCCGTGATCATGGCATCTTTCCTAAACGTTTTCAGTCGAATAACAAATCTATTATATCTATAACCAAGAGATTACCAAGGTAAGATAGTGAATCCCCATATAGGCCTNTTTTTTTTTTTTTTTTTCTCATTTTAAGTCGTGCAATGAGTCCCTTACTAACCAAGCGCGAGGGAGAATATCGACCCTTGATCCTTTTTGAACGTAACTCGCTCCGCTCGGTCCATACTGTCAAGACCTTGGGTTGATTTTCTCCTAGTAAGGCCCTCGTGCTTGGTTTTACTAATAAGATATATAAAATACCAACCAATCGGATTGCTCTTTTGCTGGTGGATGTTTTTCCAAGTACTTGACCGGGCACTACCCTAGATGATCATGTAATTTGGTACCCACTGACTTTATGCAAAAGAACTGAATTAACTTTCTTTTTCTTCCACTTTCTTTTCTTCCCTTGTTTTGAAATTTAAAACATCAGAGGAGTGTGTGCGCTTGACTTTACCATGCCAAAACAATTACAGTCGTGAAATAGGCCATTTTCGTATTCTCAGTACTGGACTGGAACTAGCCTGTAATGGAGGCTCAGGCGGGGGAATATCATTAAAAAGAGATTTTAAAATGTCATTTGCATTTGAAAAGACTCCCCCGCATTAGCCTCGGTTGCAAGCTAGTTCCAGTCCAATACCGGGAATACGAAAATGGTCCATTGATAATATATAAATCCCTTGTTATCCAAGCTTTCCTGAACTCTACTGGCATTGATATTGCTTGATTTCACTGTCTTACCATCACAAAGAAAAATATCGTTACCATTAAATAAGCAACGTTAGGAATCTGGAGTACACTAGATGATTGACATATCAACAACCTCCCCAAGACTTAGGTCTGTGCGGTTTTTGTATTCACGCGATTTACCGAGAAGTGTTTCACCCCAGTTCACAAAACTTTAAATGGAGACGCCATAGAATCAGCGGGGTCGCACTGTACATTGA